CTAATTTTACTTTAGATTCCAGCTATCTGAACTTCTCTGTAGTGTTAAACTCTTGTTAGTTACACAGGGAAAAAAAAACCAAGAAGCCTATTTCTGGGGGATCAGTAAACAAACGTGTGCTACTGCTTCCATTTCAGAGCATGTGGACATTGTAAGAATGTTAATACATACGGTATAAGGTGGAGTATATGCACAACATAAGATCGCCAAAAGTTGCTGTAGCGAACTGGTCCTTATGGAAGGGGGGTTCTTCCAATAGCGATAATAATAAATTGGTCCTTATAAGAGTTTATTCTGCGAAACCATTTTAGTTTTCTCCATAAACCAGCAGAAGGGGGTATGGGTTAACAGACCCTGGTGAGCACAGCAAGCGCACTGATCGCCTACAGTGTGCTTTAAGGGAGATCTAGCTGTTGATCACCGATGATTCTTTGTCCTTGTGGGTTAAGCTTAACCCAGAGAGAGAGGGAGAGAGAGAAAGGGAGCAAAGAAAGATAGGAAGGAAGAAAGGAAGGAGACGCACACAAGGACCAGTTCGCTACAGCAACTTTTGGCGATCTTATGTTGTGCATATACTCCACCTTATACCGTATGTATTAGTCTATGTTTGTGTGGGGATAAAGGGAAAACCCACAATAAGGTGTTTTAGAGTATTTGTCACTTTATGTTAAGTGTCACTCATTGGGATATTGTTTTACCAGTGATTGTAAGAATGTTAAAGGTCACCAATACAAATTGAATGCATTTACTTTGATTTTGGCCTCAGTAATATGCTGGATGGTTTTTCATGCTCAAAGCATTATAGTTTTTGCACAAAAATAAATAAATGCCCTTTTTTTTGACTGTGCACCTCCCAGTCAGTTTCCCATTTGTTCTTTGCAACCCTCTCAAACTGCCTTCTTTACTTGTATATCTCAACTCATGTCTAACTGTGTTCACTTTAATTATCTCTTTCTCTGTCTCTTTCACGTTTTAGGGTGGTCTGCCTTGACTTTGGCAGGCGGGCATTCCCTCCAATTGCCATTGGAGCAACTAAGTGACCTCCGTTTGTCTAAATATACATAGGGGTTAAGGAGAGAGCGCAGGTAACTTTTTCTTTTCTTTGTAATATCTATTCACTTAATGGGAACTGTTTTTGAGAAGCTGGGTGCTCCATTATTTTCATGCGGTTGCTGACTCGCATATTCTCTTCTTGCAGCTGGTAGCTTACGCAATTTGCCTGTTTTGCCTTAATGTTGTTTGAGTGTGGGCTGTATAGCGGGGAGGAGAGTTCATCATCCTTTAGAATAGGGTGCCTGCGAGTGACAAGGCAATAAGCCCAACCTCAGCTGATTCAGAATTTACTTATTATTTTTTCTAAGTAGTTTTCAGTGCGAATTTATGTTTTCTGTTCAAGTTTACCTCTTATGTAATGTTCACATAAGAGGTAAGATGCATCACATTTAGGCTAAGCTTGGCCATGACGGATACCTCTAGGGTTTATATATTAAAATGTTGACCTTATAATTTAGATACCTGCTAAGTAGGTAGGAGGGGGACGGGGACTCTGGTCACGATTATGTGCACTGCAGTCTGACAAATGACATGGTCACTATAGAGCATACACTGTTATTATATCTTCTCTCACCTCACCCATTATGACTCTGGAATTGCTTTTTTTTGTACCCCCGTAATCAAGGCCAGTGCTTCCATAAGGCGGCCATAGGGCGCCAGAGCATGGGGGTGAAAAAATCAGAATCCCCTGCTTCTGGCTGGGGACTCGGATTTTTCAAATCACCGCTCTCTCACACAGCAGCCAGGGAAGTCGGCCGACCTAACCTGATGATGTCAGGAGGAGGAGGCAAACTGGGAGAAGAGCAGTGGAAGTCACGCCTCTCCTCCTGACATCAGGAGAGGCTGGTCACCTTCCCTGGCTGCTGTGTGCTGGTTCCAGGCTCCAGACTCCTGGCTCCTGCTCCTCCCTCCCTTGCCCCAAATAATATGTAATACACTTGTTTATTTTTTTTCTTTGATCCAATGTTTTTAAGCAGCCCATGTCCCCCCACCACAGCCCATGTGCCCCCCTATAGCACATGTGCACTCCTGTACAACACCTATGCCCCCACCACTGCCCCTGCCCCCTCTACTGCTCCTGTCCTCCTACCCCTCAGCCCCTGTGCTTGCCTTAACAGCCCTGCCCCCACCGCAGCCCCTGTCCCCTCTTTCAACCCCTGTGCCCCCCACTACAGCCCCTGAGCCCCCCAATACAGCCCCTACCCCTTCAACACAGATCCTGTCCCTGCTACCACAGCTTTTGTCCCCCCTACCACAGCCCCTGTCCCCTCCTCAGCTCCCTTCCCCGGCTCAGCCCCTGTCTCCCCCTCTACAGCCCATGTGTCCCCACCACGGCCCCTACCCCCTCACTACAGACCCTGTTGCTCAACGACAGTCCCTATCACCCTCACTCCAGCTCTTGTCTCCCCACCACAGCTCCTGTGCCTCCACCACAGACCCTACCACGCTCACCATTTCCCTTGTCCCCCCTAACACAGCTCTTGCCCCCCCTACAACAGCCCCTGTCCTCCCCTATCACAGTCACTGTTCTCTCCCTCAGGCCCTGTCCACCCCCGCCCCTCTGCAGCCCTTGTCCCTCCCTCTGCAGCCTCTGTCCTTCCCTCTGCAGCTCCTGTCCCCCCACCACAGCTGCTAACTCCTCTACTACACATTCCTCCAACTACAGCCACTGCGCCCCATGTGCAGCTCTAATATTTTACAAGCCATACCCCCACTACAGCCCCTATTCCTTTACTACAGTACTTGCCTCCCACTACAGCCCCTCTCCCTCAATGGCAATCCATATCACCCACACCATAGCCTCTTTCCCAAATTGTAGCCATAAACCTACTTCAGCCCCATTCCCCACTACATTTCCTAACCCCCCAATTACAGCCCATATCCTCCACTAAAGCCTCTAAACCTCAACTACAGCCCCGATCCCCCTACTACACTGCCTAACTTTTCAATTACAGGCACTACAACCCACTACCAGTGCTCATCCCAAGATTAGGTTTTGGATTTGCCCCTGCTCTATTTGTATCTGTATGACTATATGACTCTGTGTGTGTGTATGTATGTGTATGTCTGTGTCTGTATGTCTTTATGACAGTGTCTGAATGTCTCTGTATGTCTTTGTTTGTATGACATTTTACCTGTATGTGTAGATTGTATGACTGTGTGCCTGTATCACTGTGTTTGTCTGATTGTGTACCTGCATATCTCTGTGATTGTGTGCCTAAATAATTTTGTGTGCCTTTATGGTTGTGTGCTTCTATATATATATATATATATATATATATGGCTTTGGAGGAAAAGGGACACACAAAATGGGCTAAGTGGAGAGAGCCACAGAATAGGGCTGGGGGAAAGAAAGAGACACACAAAGGGGCTGGACAGAAGAAAGAGGCACACAAAGGAATGTTGGGGAGAAAGAGACACACAAAGGGGTTAGGGGAAGTAAGACCTACACAAGGGATTTGTAAGAGACACACAGGTGAAGACACATTGAAGACATAGTAAAGGGGGGGATAAAATATACTAAAACAAGTAAGAAATTCAAAAGAGGGGTTAGGAGGCACACAGGTATAGATGCCTTTTTTCACCCCTTAGTTACCAGACCGCTTTTCAATTTTCTTACCGTTTGAAACCAGAGCTGTTTTTACATTTCTGTGGTGTTTATGTTTAGCTGTAATTTTCCTTGTACTTGTTATGTGTGACATGTCATGATTCCCTCTTATTCCAGAAGTTTGGTCCTTAAGGGGTTAAAAGAAGACAACCTACGGTATTTTGACTCTTTTCATGCTCTTTTTATGCAACTATTTTAGCACCAATCAATGCCAAATTTTTGTAAAAAAAAATTATAATTGGTGATGTTTTTGACACACATAGCAATTAAGGAATACATGTACTGAGTGCCTTATGGGTTACTGCCAAGGAACAACCTAATATGTACTCAGCAACATCTCCCAAGTACTGTGATACCACCTATATATAGGTGGGTCAGGTTTCGGGGGAGGCTAAAAGACCTTATTTGGAGGGTGCGCATTCCAGTTTTCCAAATTGGAATTTTCACACCTTGTCATCATACATCCATGTCCTATTTGGGACATTTTTGAAGCCAGCCAATGTAATTTACCCCCATCAAACCATACATTTTTTAAATGTAAACACCCTAGGGTATTTCAAAGGGTGGTATTTTAACACTTTCCATGCACTAATTCTACTACCAGTCTTTGTCAAACTTTTGGGTAGTCATTTTTTTTGTGTTATTTTTCTATTTTTAGCAACATCTTCTGAGTACAGTGCCCATCAATGTACAGGTTTTATGTTTTTTTGCAAACTTACAGGGGTCAAATGTAGGGCTTTCCCCTTTTCCATGTTCGCACATTGAAATTTGCCAGATTGGTTTGCTGGGCCTATGCTGCCTTTGAGACCGTATGGCAGCCCAGGAATGAAAATTAACCCCATCATGGCATACCATTTATAAAAGTAGACAACCCACGGTATTTAGTCACAATCCTTGGCTAAAATTAGCGTTTATATTTTTTTTGCATTTTTCACACGTAAACTGCCATCTCACCTATGATATTATCAGTATAATACATTTTACTGCTCTAAAACACTCACAAATACAACAGTACTCCTCAAATACAGGTTTTATGGTGATGTGGAAAGTAACAGGGTCAGACATAAGATTTGCCAGTTTCTGTTTTTGCAAATTGCTATTTGCCAGATTTGCTATGTTGCCTTTGAGATGGTATGGCAGCCCAGAAATGAAAATTAACCCCACCATGACATACCATTTGAAAAAAGTAGACAATACTTATAATACGTGTGTGTGGATATATATAGATATATAGATATATATATTCCTATTTTTTTTTAATATAATTTCATATATATTCATATATATGAAATTATATTAAAAAATAGGAATATATATATATATATATATATATATACACACATACACACACACACATACATACACTGCTGTGTGTGTGTGTGCTGCATGAGGGTGGTTTGAGGGTGTTGTGTGTGTAAGGGTGCTGTGTGTGTGTATGTGTGTGAGGGTGCTGTTAGTGTGATGTGTGTGTGAGGGTGTTTGTGTGTGTTTGTTAGGGTCCTGTTAGTGTGCTGTGTGTGTGAGGGTGCTGTGTGTGTGTTTGTGAGGGTGCTGTTTCTGTGCTGTGTGTGAGAGGGTGCTGTGTGTTTGAGGGTGCTGTATGTGTGTGGGTGCTGTATGTGCGAGGGTACTGTGTGTGTGTGGGTGCTGTGTGTGTGGGTGCTGTATGTGTGTGCTGTATGTGTGTGTGGGTGCTGTATGTGTGTGTGTGGGTGCTGTATGTGTGTGGGTGCTGTGTCTGTGTGTGTGCTGTGTGTGTGCTGTGTCTGTGTGTTGTATGTGTGTGCTGTATGTATGAAGGTGCTGTGTGTGGGTGCTGTATGTGTGTGGGTGCTGTATGTGTGTGTGCTGTATGTCTGTGTGCTGGTGCTATGTGTCTGTGTGCGGGTGCGTGTGGTGTGAGTGTGTGTGCTGTATGTGTGTGGGTGATTGTGGGGGTACATTACTTAATATCCCCCCTCCCTTCTTACCTTATGTAGGGAGGGGGGATCGTGCTGCTGTTTTCCCTTTTGGTCCAGTGGAGAGTGAACTCTAGCCCCTATGGGGCTAGAGTTCACTCTCGCAAGATCTGAGTGAACTCGAAAGGAACCCGGCGGAGCTGCTGGTTGAGCTCTCCGGGTCCTCTCCTGCCTCCCTCCATGCTGCTTTGTGGAGGGAGGCTTAGAGCAGAGCCGGCGCTCGGATAGCGCCTGCTCTGCATGAGCCGACAGGGGAGATCCTGAGATCTCCCCTGCCAGTCTCACTCCATAGGCGTGCCGTGGGGATTAGGGTGTGCCCAGGCACACCAGGTACACCCCATGCGCATGCCTATGTATAATATATGCATTATATATGTAAAAAATATTTAAAATTATTTATTTTATAATATATTATACATATATGATATATGTATAATATATATATATATATTTTTCGTTTTTAGCAGCCTGGGGGACTGCCTGACAGCTCACACAGTCCCCCTGCTGGCAGGTCAATAGACTCCTATTGCGGCCATATGATCACGGTGATGACAAGGCCCTGGACGGCCGGCGTCGCCGGAGCTGCTGCAGGTTGACTTCTGGGGTCTCTGGCAGTCCCCCCGACCGTGATCGTCGCAGATTGGCAGTCCAGGTAAGTCCAGGGTTCCTATTTGTCGCGGTACTTTACGTCCGCGGTCCTTAGCGACCGTTTTTTGTCAGACGTACCTAGTTGACAACATTCTTGCAAAGGGTCGTAAATATCTTTCTGAAGATCAGAGTGATTTTCTCTCCCCCCTCACTCTTTTTCTATTAAACCTGTGTCTTATCTGCACTCATGTCACTTAACCCTTGTATCCCAACTCAACTTTGAATTCTATGTGTTGTCTTGCTCAGAAATGCTTGAAACTTGAGAAAGGGAGGTTCTACAGAAAGCTTGTCATTAAAAAAAAGGTATTACAAGATACAAATTGTAACTGTTTCTTTGCCTGTTTAGCCAAAAATCCTTGCCTCGGCTCTGCCCCAACAACTATGGGTAGGTATACAGCTAGCTAACCCCTGAAGCATGAATTCACTGCTATGTGGGCGATCATTTAATAATGCAGAGTTGTCTGGACCATATAGAGAAGGTGAGGAGTTAATATTAAAATAGCAGTCTTTAAAAGACACCAGATGTTTGAACTCTCGTTGCTGTGGGCTAATGTTATTGGGCAGGTGGTTTTGTGTGTCTCTAATTCCAATAAAGCTGATTTTACATGCAAACTGCCCTCAGAAAATAGCCAGATTTTATTTATTTTATTTTCGTCTAATTTAGATATATAAGAGCTGAATTTTCTTCAATTACTTGAATTTTCCAGTTGTGTGCAATTTCATGCCTTGGTAAATAATAACAAAATATTGACTATATTGAATGTTACCATTCATGGGAGTTATGAGTCCTTCAATGCTTAACAAAAACCATTATATTATGTGCACCCATTTGAGAAGACAGTTAAAGCCAAAAGTCCTTCACCCTGTCACAAAGCAAATTGTATTCTTGATTTCCACGATCTCTGGCACCATCTGGAAACACAAAGGAAAATTACATTAGGCAATCTGCCAACTATAAACTTATCCAGAGGACAAAAGAGAATTCCCGAAACAATGCTGCCTGATTACTGAAGGGGAATGGGAAGACAAAAGCTGTACTTATAAAGCCAAAAGCAAGAAAAGAGCAAGAGGAAAAAGCCTTTAGGCTCAAGGAAATAGTAAATCGGATGATTTTCTAGAGAAAATCCCTTAGCGTAATGAAATTACAATAGCACCGTTAATTACTGGAATACAGCAATGGCAGAATTAGGAAATAAAGTGTTTGCTCGTGGTGGGAGGACTGAATTTATAGCACTCTTAGAGTTTCTTTTTATTTTATTTTTTTTAATGAAGTAGGGTAAGAATAATTTTTGGTTGTTTTCTTATCGGAGATATAACTCTGCATGCTTCTAGGGAGGTATGTGTCTCAAAGTAAATAGAATTAATTTGTGCGCAAGGGAAAATAAATTAAGCAATTATTCAAGAAGAGAGGTGGCTTGCCCGCAAGACACCCTAGGGTTCTAGTGAGGCCTCAAGATAAGGGGGCTAGGTCCCAAGGTCCATCAATGAGCCATTTGAATAGATATCAGTAGCAAGTTCTGGACCTGTGCAAGGGAGGAGTAGAAATCCATACTCCTTTACACCTCACACGACGAGGCCCCACACTGCACATTATATGAGTGGTTCGTAGCTGCTAGGTAGGAACTTAAAGGGACACTGTAGGTATTATAGCTGCTTCATCTCAGTGAAGTGGTTATAGTATCTGGAGTCCCCTAGTGCTGCCCTTCCTTTCAGAGTTAAACCATTTTCACTTTTGTAACTAAGAGTACCCAATAGTCCATTACCTCTGTGCTGCTTGGTCTAATGAGGAAGCCTTAGACTGAGAAGAAAATGGGTGACTGATTTGCTTAGTGTCAGCTGACTTATTTCATCCTATCATTGCACCCATTGCTGGTATGAATAGGTATGACTGTGCAATCTCTGTCTTAGCCACACCACCAGTGTTAAACTGTTCAAAAATAGTTCACACTGAATGGAGGGATACTGTCAGGGGACTCCAAACACAAAATCCAATTCAATGAGATTAAATTGTTATTGTGTCTACAGAGTTTCTTAAGAATCAGAGAGGCACATTATATTCTAAAAGTGTTTGTGCCTGGCATAGGATGATAGGGGTTAGATAGAGGATGATGAGTGTCCACGTTTTTCTTTAAGACATGATCCTTGTGTTAAACTGAGTAGAAGAAATAAAAAAAAAGAACTTTATTAAGAAAACAAAGCAATACGATATGAATCTTAGTTTCAAACGATAGGGGATAAGGCATTGGAAGGGACAAAGAAAGCAATGGGGAAATTATGCCTCTTTGAGTGCAATTTAGATTGATGGAGTGGTTATAGTGCAGTGGAACTATGACACACACTTCTTTTCTTTTCAAAGCCCCTTCAATCTCTTTCACCAAAAAATATATAAGCAGAGGGAGGCTCAAAGCTCTGGTGTAGAGGACAATTCTTACAAAAGGACTCAACACACACACATTTTTGGCAAATCATTCTATAGCCCAATGCTCATTGCAGTACTTACACAATACAAGATGGAAAATGAGAAACATAGATCTCCCTATTATGTTGTTGCAAAATAAGACTTTGTATTCAAATTTTGTCAAACTGATGGAAAATGCTTTGCGAAAACCAGTCACGGAGCTTTATTACGCTATCACCACTACAATACAATGCTCAGAATGGCCATTTAAATATGGAAAATATTAATAACATAAAATTAATATCGGTTTCATATACAGACCTGCAATGTTTATTTAACAAATCTGGAAACAACTTAATTACAACTTGTTTGTTTATTTTTAATCTTATTTTGCTGTGACGTGATATTTGATCCATGTGTGACCACACGAGAGAGGAGGCGGGCCACACATGACAGCAAAGCCACCGACACACTCACAAGCACTGTCATGCACTTGCACTGTCACAGTCAAATGTATTTTGTTTTTTGTAAACTTGAAGGGGGTTGCATTGGTTTAGTATCCACACTTTGCACTTCACACTCCTCATGAGGCCTTTTAAAATATACTGGAGAAACATACATAGGGTCTCTCCAAGGGTCCGAGGATGTTAAATGTGCCCCACTCCATGGGGTGGAAGGAGATATGCACACCCCGAAGAGGACCAATGAGGTTGAAAAAGCGACAATTTAAAGCAGGACTCTGCGGGGATGGTTATTGCTATTTGTATTGTCCATGCTTTTTAATATTGCTCCCTGCGGAAGCCCCGAATTGAAGGAAACATGAAGGACCACAATTTGTTTTTAATATATTTTAAAATAAATCATTTTTCTACATTTGACCCAGTGGAGTCCTTGGTTCTCACTACACTGTACAGCTGATACAGCAAGTGCTCAGAAGGGATATTGCCCCGTCCCCCCAGAGTTGGTGGGAGGCACATTTTATGCTCTTAAACATCCAAAATCTTGTGAGTGCAACAAAATCTAGTGATATACTTTGTGTATTGACTGTATTACACTATGTTATGTTATGTTATGTTTTATTTTAGGTTCTAATGCTCAGAAACCCTCTTTTTCCCTGATAGGCAATGTATTCAGTGAACAGTGTATGGTAGAAAAAGCAGGGGGAGCAGGACAGTGACGTTAATCGTGGTAGCAATAATAACTGCATTGGTGCGTTTCATTATCTCTACACTTGAAGTGATTGGTAAATTACTGAAACTTGCTACACATATGTGGCTGCAGAATCCCACGGGGGATGGATAGCTTACTAAAGCAGACATTTATTGGAGCTATACATGATTAGCAAGGGAAATAATATATTCATCTTATACCTCTTGATGTAGGTTTGTTCTTCTTTTGTGTAATGGCTGGATTTATATATAAAGTGTAGGCACAACATTTACAGGTAATCTCTCATCCTACAATATAATAGTTTGTGAACAGAAAGTAAACGTTGTGGGTAGTATGTAATAGTAACATGTGAATGCTGTGGGTAGTATGTAATTGTAGCGTGTGAATGTTGTTGGTAGTATGTAATTGTTGTGTGTGAATGCTGTG